GGCTAGTTGTCCTCCAAGGTCGCCTGAAGGAGAGACTGAGGAGGAGGATGATGAAGGACACCCCCAGACTCATTTGGAAAAGACCCCCCCGAGTACAGCACGCAGGCACAGGGAAAGCCATGTGTGTGCAGAAGAGATGCACTTACATAACCAGGAGGTGGGACTGAGGGCCTTGGGCTGGGCGGTGCTGGACACACCTGGGAGGTTGTGTTCACTCAGTTAATTGTATAAAAGCAGATAGTGCTTTCCTGGGGGGAGCTAACTTCACACCAAGGACAACATTGCCTTTGGCGGGGACGCCTGCCAGTTTGTGAACTTACTGACTCTCCAAGGATGCAGTTTCTGCTATGGGTAATTATAGGCATGGCAGGTCAGTAAGATAACTTTATGGGCAACAGCTGGGTAACTGGGGAGGTCGTGCTGGGGGCTTATTTCTCTCCTCCTTCCTCCCTTTTGGGTTTGTTTGTTTTGTTGGCCACCTCTTGGTAATAAATACTGGGTTTTGTTAAGCTTTTAACGGTGTCATGGTTTTAAGTTTCAGTATTGTTTTGAACCCTCCCTAATACAGGCAGTCATTGAATCCAGGGTCATCAGAGACCAGCAAAGAGGATGATATAATCCGCATCTGGGAAAAAGGCCAAACCCAGCTCTTACTGATGCTCCTACGCTTTGATTCTGAAGGGAAACCTGCATCTTTTTTTTCTCTACTTAGCAAGATATCAGCTGTTTCAAGTGATATCAAGAAACCAAAAGGGGTTTGGGACAGAAAAAAGCACAAGGGATTAAAAAACCCCAAAGCAAAACCCTAAGGAAGAATAAGCAAGAAGGCACTGAAATAAAATCTTTACAAATCTTCATTACTTATGAAAAAAGTTGTCAGTCTTAATTGCAACTGAACTGCTGTCAAGAGAAATCTCTGCCAAATGGAGCTGATCACACTTCAAATTAAAATAAAAATTTGTCATCGATATGCTGTGGAAGCTGACACTTTGCATTAGTATTATTTCTGAAAAGCTAACATCCCTGGCTAAACATCCCTGGAAAACTGAAATCCCTATGCACCTCCGGCATGCTGCTTGTGCACTGCTGGGAGTAAGTAAAGAAAGACTTCCCTTTAAATGCCAATGAAAATGTGCCACTGGAAATTAAACACTGATTACTCATCTTAAATGTTATATTTACTGAAGCTGGTAAGTGATCAGCTCTCCTTCAGTGCAATAATGCCATGCTCGGCCAGAGAAGTGGAACTTTATTTATTATTTATTATTTATTATTTATTGAAAGAGACTCTTCAACTTGAGTTCTGCAAAACCAAATGAGGATTCTGTGGAATCCGTAACCAGTGAAAAAAACCCCAAACTTACACTGCTCTGTCATGCATAAAAATGAAACCAAAACCAAGAAGCACTGGTAGATTATCCTTCTATAATTATTAGTGTACTTTCATGCTGCCCCTCTCAGCCCACAATTAATTCATGGTGGCCTGATAGGGCAGAGAAGACAACTGCTAGTGCAATCAACTCCTGCAGGACTAAGAAACGCTGATTCTTTCAAGTTGCTCTAAGGAAAACCGCATTATCTGTGGGCCTGCTGTGCAGGACAGGGCTGACATTTCACACAAACACAGCCCCTAGAAGAGGCCATGTGAACTGAGCCTGATCACCTTGACTTCATGAAACCTTTTACAAACACTGAAATTCACAAGTACATTTCAGCAAACTACACGAAAAGCTAAGGAAGTAATAATTGCAAATAATAATGGAAATAATATGGAAATAATAACTGCAAAATAATAAAATATACTAATTATAAAATAATGAAAGAAGGTTCAAGACACACCAGGAGTAGTTGTCTTGAATTGTTCAATGCCAGATGAGTTTTCAAGCACACCCCAACTGCCTTGCAGGGAATACTCATGTTTCTTAACTTCCTTTCAGATTAAATACCTCCTCATTTTGCAACAAGAGCTTTAAAGGTCATGATAGCATCAGCACGCATTGCTACACAGTGTAATAACCAGGTTCTCTTAATGAGGGACTATTGAGTCCTTAAACTTCTGATATAATTTCTAAAACATAAACGACATCATAATTCAGACTGAGAAAAATTACGTTAATTATAAACACCTGAAGAATACGGGACGTGGGACACTGAGCCAAGTTGTACACTGCTATTACAGCAGCAAATTGCTCCACGGCTTAACACCATGTCTTTCCTAGAAAACTGGAGGCGTACTGGCTGGACTCCGGGTGCTATTTTCAGAGAAGTGAACAGACAGCATTTAAACCAGCTGTTATCTATCTGTTCAGTATTGATGATCTAATTTGGAAACGGGATTAAACTGCACGCACAGATTAATACACTGCTGTGCAGCTGCATGGATTTGTGACTGTCATGACAACCAGCAGAAAATGTATCCCAATAATCCTCTACGAGCAGATCTGTCTCCATGCAGCATTAAGAAGATTTATCACTAGCACAGACATACTTACAATTATTTCATTGCAGATACCGAGAGTGGTATAATCTCTAACCCTCTCTGCATCTTAAAAAACCAATTCACAACCAGAAGAGAGGTTCACCGTATGAATGAATGCTGAAAGTAATGAAAATCCTTGGAAGCTGTTGGAAATGTATAATTTCTGAGAAAATATTAGTGTTTTCCAAGTAATTTTTCATGGTTCTGAGTGTGAAAATTTGTATTTATTTTATAAGCATAACAAAGTCAGAATTATCCCTATACTTCCCACATTAGGCATAGTCTCATATTTCAAGCAGGATTTCTATTTTAGAGTTATCTTTCTTTCTAACTTGTTTTCCTTGCAATAAGAAGAGTCCTTGGTTTTATGCTTCAGGAGAGAAAGTTAGAAAGCGGGACAGTGTTTCCAGTTCCATTACTGCCTGCTTGCAGAATTATTTAGTCTGTGTAACCATAAAAAATACAGAAAATTAAAAAGGGGAAAATAAAAGCCATTTATGTACTTTACAGGAAGACTTAGAGGTCGAGCTAAATAATATTTGCCAAGTGTCCCAAAAGAGAGCTGCCTATGCATGAAGGACTACTTTCTTTCCAAACACAAGGAAGAGCCATGCTGGAGATTTTTCTAGTGTTAGCCAAGAATTTCAAAGGTTGAAATTTATTTCCCACCTCACAGTAAAAATCAGGAAAAGAAGCAAACACGCCCCACTTCCAGGGCTTCGGAATAACACTACAGGCTACAGCTGGCCATGAAAATATTGTGTGGTATTTGCAGCTGTAAGCAGTTAATCCTTCTAAGAGCACTTTTTGGACATGTATCTTACAACCACCTCAGTTACATGTGCTTCCCCAAGCAAAGCTCTACAGCTGCCACGATGCTGTGTCTGCTTGGGTCAGTGTTGTGTATCTCGTGGAACAGGAACTTGCAGTGGCTCCACTCCATGGAGCATCTTATCTCCTCAGAGGTGAAATCCAGAAAATCCTGCTATGAAGTTCAACCTACAGGAACCAAAGAAAAATCCTTTTTAGCAAAGGGCTAATAGATCAGTTTATTGCAATGTGGAGGCAGTATGAACAACCAAATATTTTCCAGTGCCACTTAAGCCTTCAAAATTGCCTAGTACTATCAGAATGTATTATAATGAATTATTTGCATTTGCAATAGTGCAAATCCCGTCTTAGTTTACAAAATCACTATTTTCATCTGATAAAGCTATGGACTCCACAACTGGAAAATATTTTTTAAAATACCCCAGAAGGTGCGATTTTAAAAAAAAACCTTGGAAATATTCCAAACAAGCAATTGTTAAGTATAGGAATATCAGCATATTCAGGCATCTTTATTTTGTAGTTCCCAAGGTCTATGAAGTCCTCGCGTCTCGTTGTGAGATAAGATACTATTTAGAAAAGAAGTCTCAGTTGAACTAAAGGCACTAGAAGATGGATGATAATATTTAAGTGGACAGGAAAAATAAACTCAATCAAATTATTTGCTCATTTACAGTCATGAGATTGCTCAGCTCCTGGAATTGGTATAGATCTGAGAAAATATTTAAAAAGTAAATACATAGTGCAAGAAAAAATATATATATAATTTAGGACCCTTTCGGATAGACTTATACATCTTAAATTCAGGTGGATTTTTTTATATACATATAAACAAACACCCTTCTCTCTCTGAAAACAAGCATCAGTTTTCAGTTTTCTTCCTGAACTGGGACCATTTAAACATGCTGGAACATGTGTGTACCCATAATATCAACAAATCTATTGGTGTGAATCAACTGAAATGCCAGACTACATCCTTAAAGGAGCATTTTTCTGATACCTGCTGTTAGGGAAGTGACCGTGCCTGACGCTCTGGAGCTATATGGAAAGATTACACTATCTAAGGAATAACAACCCAACAAGAAAACTTAGTAGTGTGTCTCTGCTCCTTCCATGGTCAAGCACAGGATGGGATTTCTTCGAATGAAAATATTTTTGCCTCAGGCTTCCATTAATTCTAAATGTGAGAGGGTGTCAGATAAGACACGCGTTTCTCTCAAAGAATCTGCATTTAAGTAACAAATGGAACCCACTCCGCGTTATGAGGTATAGCCTCATGTTGCTCCGAGGGTTTTGAAAATGCCTCAGTGCTAGGAAAATGCACCAATAAGCCCACCGGATAATGCCAGAATTACAGAATTGTCAGGGTTGAAAGGGACCACTGGAGACCATCCAGTCCAACGCCCCTGCCAAGGCGGGGTAACCTGGAATAGGTAACACGGGTTGGCATCCAGGTGGGTTTGGAATGTCTCCATGATTCCTTTTCGCCAGAATACTTCCTCTAGGCAATCCAACTCACAAACTAGAACAGCAGCGACGTGCTATTACTGAAATTATCAGTAATAACTCAGCGGCATTTTAGCAGATGTTCGAGGGGGGGTTCTTTCGCCTGCACGCGGCCCGCGATCCCCGGTGCCCAGGCTGGCTGGACTCCCTGGCGAGGGAAGCGCGGGTACCTGAGGGCCAGCTGCCTCCCTCCGCCTCCATCCCCGGCTCCGCAGGGCCTCGCCGGTCCGGCCCTTCCCTTCCCGAGATTCCGATCCCGGGAAGCAGCGCCGCCGCAGACCCCCGGCCCCTTCCCGCCGCCCGCCATTTGCTGCCCTCAGGCGTCCGCGCCATTTCCCCCCCTCCTGACCCCGCTCCCCTCGGGAGAGACCCTCGGCACCCGGGAGCCTCCAAACCTCGGACAGCTCCGGCCCCGGGCGGCGTCGACCAGCCCCCGCTCCCCACTGGCACCTCCAGGCCGTTCCGCTCCCCCCCCTCCCACCGCATCCCAGGAGCTACAGCTGCTCCCCCTTCCCGGCTTCAGGAATTTTAACTTACAGACAGGCGTAGTTCCAAGGTACCACTCCCAAGACGCGCGTCACTCAGGGCTCCAGGGACCTGCAGTGCGTGTGTGTTTAGGGGGAAGAACTCTTCCAACAGTGCATAGGGAATACGGAGCTTAGAGAGGTCTGTGTGTCTATAGAGACATTGGGGGCTGAGAGAGGATGGCAAGGTGGCTTTTCCAGACCTTCCACTCCCCCATCAACCTTCCCTCCTTCAGGATCAGCTGGTGCAGCAAGGAGGCACAAAGCGACTTCACGGATGGGAGCATTTTGGGCTTCAGTCAAAAGGGAAGGGAATTACAGGGAAGGGGGGGAAGGCTCTCTAGCAGAGCTACCACTTGAGGAGATCCTTTCTCCCTGTCCCTTCCGGGGAGGAGGGGACGAGTCATAATCCCATCATACTCCCATCCGGGCTCATCGGGAATCTAGAGGGGGTACCAGTGGGCCCAACACCAGAGTATTGTTTCTCTCCTACCAAATTAATCATATAGTGCTTTTGGAAAACTCCATAAAAGAGTATGGCGTAATAAACACTTGAAGAAAAGCACCAAGATCAGTGTCTACAAAGCCATAGTGTTGTCCATTCTCTTATACGGTTCCGAATCATGGGTCATCTACCGCCACCACCTGTGACTCCTAGAATGCTTCCATCAACGCTGTCTCTGTACAATCCTAAACATCCACTGGTCAGATTATGTGACCAGTACATCTGTTCTTGAACAAGCAGCAGTCACAAGTATTGAGGCCATGTTGCTGAGAACACAGCTGCGATGGGCAGGGCACGTCTCCAGGATGAAGGACCACCGCCTCCCTAAGATCTTGCTTTATGGTGAACTTGCCTCCGGCTGCTGCAAGAGAGGAGCCCCGAAGAAAAGATACAAGGACTCCCTGAAACAACATCTCAGCCTTGGCCATACTGATCAACATAACTGGTCTACTCTGGCCGCAAACTGGGAGGCCTGGAGACACACCATCTATAACGTTGCTGCTTCCTTTGAGAACGCACGCAGGATCACTCTTGAGGAGAAAAGACAACGCAGAAAGAATCGTGCCTTGCTGAATACACCATCTAAGGAGTCTTTCTGCTGTGCCTCTTGCAATCAGACATGTCTATCTCGTATTGGCCTCATAAGTCACCAGTGTGCCTGTAACAAACGTGGATAGTGCCTTCCTAAATCTTTGTTCGCGAAGCCCAGCCATGATGATGATGACCAAATTAATGAACTGTTGTTGGAAAGGGGACATCAAACTGAACGAAGAAATGGCCCAACTGTGCTTACCAAACCACTGGCCTTGTTACCAATACCCAGAAACTGCTCAGTTGATATTGGACTTTAATTACCTAAAAGTAGGTTTCACTGGTCAGGCACACAGATCCTTCCTTTAATTCCACAGAGACTGACTTTGTCAAATACCCCCACAATTTCAGCGTTATGCAGCTAAGCAAGGAGGCCTGTCCCGTCCACGTTATCAAAAGACAAGCTGCTTATCAGAAGCCAGGTATAAATATAATAACTGATTTTATTTTCATGATTAACACTGGGCCACATTCTTCCCTCTGCACAGAATCTCATCACAAATTACTTGCATCTCAGAAAACACAAAACATAATAAAAAAAGAATGCAAGTTACATTAATCAAATTGCTTGAAAGTTTAATTGAGATCCATGTTTGTTTTGCAACAGTTTCGCAAAAGCTACAATGAAACATGAATGAGACTAAATAAATGCACAAATCCCAGGAAATAGTTCTGCATTTGAACATGGAATACAAAAGCCTGATTTTAGCTAAGACCTACAAGATTACCAAGAGCATTAGGGAATGTCCTTGCAAAAATTCCTCCATTTAAGGCTTTGAAAATAGTTTTTCAGAAATGTGGAGCACCTCTAACCTCCAGCAGTAACTAAGAATTAGTAGTTCTTAGCATCCTTGAGCATAGAGATAGACAAGTATTTTCTAAACAAATCTAACTTTACAGTAAAGAGATAATAATCATATTAAAAATGAGATTGATTCTTAGCACTGGAAGCTGGCACTGTAATTGCCACTCAGTTGTTCCTAATGGATAAAACAAGTAATGCAACATTTAATGGTTGGTATTGTTTTATTGTCTAATATTGATTAAACTATTTACATTTCTACTTTTCAATCCACAGTTTAGCACTCATACCTATGGCTTTTACTTTTATGTTTAGCATATCTTTGTGTCAAGTGTCAGAATTTCTTTTCAAAAAAACCAAGAACCTGATATCATATAGACAAATCTCTATATTTATGTTTAAACATATTCATTTTCAAAAATGATTATTTATAAAAGAAGAGTCTGCTAGTAGCTTTTTTCCAATTTGTGTTTGCCACAGACTCTACCAAGTTTTTTCTATTTTTAAGTGTCCCTTTTAGAGTGTCCTGCTGCCTCCATGTGGAATCTGTTCCCTCCCTCAGCCCCCCACCTCTAAATTTAATGCAAAAAGAAAACCAGTAGCTGACAATTTTAAGCAAAAATATAAAGCACTATAACATTACCTACATTGCCTTTTACAGAACTAAATTCTCAAAAACTCTAGAAACTTTTGGGAAGTTTAACTAGTCAGTGCTGAAAAGGCACGGGATTTTTGTGCTCAGACACCTCCAGCAACAATGCTAATTTTAGCCCAGCCTGAAAGATCCGAAAATTCACAGGTACGTAATTGCCACTTACAATAGAAACCCTCAGATTTTAGTGATTCTCCTGCCACAGACACCCTGCAATACTATACAAGAGTTTGTTTCTACTGCAAGAGGAAAAGAGGTGAAATTACTCTTACATATACCCAGGAATGGTGTAACAATGATACAAGCTATTAATTGCTAAAAAACCTCACAAAGGTGTCCATGTCTGTGGTAGCTTCTGTTCCATGGCATTACACAAATGGGAAAGTTATTTTTCACATATAAGAGAAGTTTAATTGTACATGAATAAAGCTAATTTTGGTCCACTGGTCCAGCTTCTTATGGACAGCATATTGGAAAGGTGACCACTGACAGTTCAAAAACCAATGTAAAAGTTAACAAAAATAATTTGGTATTTCATTCCTAAACCTGCAGTGTCATTATTTGCCCTAGTCATCCACATTTTCATTCTGCATGTCCACTAATTGTTGTGTTTTTAAGTCTTCAGCTTGTTCATGATGTTCCTTATCCGCATCATCTATTTGTTTAGGTTCCTTTTCTTCTGCTTCTCCTTGATCAACACTTTGATATTCTACTTGTTCAAGGTGTGTTCCATCTATAAGTTCTGCCTGTACCTCTTCCATCTGTATTTGATTTACATGCTCAACATGTAACTGCTCCACATGAACTTCAGCACCTTGTTCAGTCTGAATGTGTTCAACTTCCAAGTAACTAATTTGCACCTGTTCTTGCAGTTCCTCCATCTGTGTGCCTTTGACCTGATTGTCCTGTATGAGATCCTGGTGCATCTGTTCCACAGTTACCTGTGCAGGATCCACCTGTACCTGAATTACTGGTAGGACATGGACTTGCTCAACTTGCTCTATTATTGTCATTGATGTTACTGGTTCAGCTTCCATAGCTTCCACTGGAAGAACCTCTTCTGTCACCAGTAGTTCTGAAATATTGTGCATTTCTTTGAGATGCCTTCTCAGCTCACTGCCTTGCATAAACCACAAATCACACAAGGTACAGTGGTTGGGTTTGTCACCAGTGTGTATTACCAAGTGATCTTTGAACTGATCCCAGCTGTTAAAAACGCTGTTACAAACCTGAAACAAAAGATACAGTATGTTAAACAGCGCCAACAGAAATATGACAAAGTGTGGTGCCTCTCTGAGATCATGGCTTCACACAGTGTGGCTTCTTGCTACTTGGATTCAAAAAACATAGACATTAGATGTAAAAGCTGAGAAGCAAGCTTCAGACAAACAGAAGACTTGGTATTTATTCATTTTTTAAGAACAGTGAGTTACTTTGAGTTGTGCCTGCATAGGGCACTGACAAAATTTGTCAGTCAGTAGAGCATTTGAAGAAAAAAAGTGAAAAATTAAAGAAAAATTTATCCAAGACTGCTGCAACTTTTTCAGGCTGAAGAGGTACTAAGCCACAGTCACAACATCTGGGAGAGGATGAGGAAATATAGAAAGACAAAACTATGACATGAAGTAATTAGACCAAAGGGTCACCAATTGTAAGATGCTGGATTATAGTGTATTAATTATTGGCTCGGACCAACTCAAGTGTGTGGGGGGGGGTGGGAGGGAAGGGATAGGTCAAATTTCGTGGAGGTGAGGTGATGTCATATCCCACACCCTTGGAGCCTCCTGGGGCAGCCCCAGAGCAGCTGTCAGTCCCTGGACAGGGGAGCACTCCCCCCCCACCTGGTGGTGTGAGATTGTCACAGCAGTGGGGCAGCAAACCTGCAAATAAAAACGCTACAACCAACTTCAGCTCTTTTATTTTCTAGCTCTTCAGAATTGCTTTTAAAAGTGAATTAAAATTTATCTTAACAGCTTTTCAAGTGACAGTTACATACAGTGACCAAGTACCCTAACAACCTCTACAGCATTTATTTTGCTTAAAAGACATTACAGATTGCCAGTGATGCATTTGAATTTTTTTGATTTTTAGCTTTTTGTAGATTTTAAAGCAGCTATGTAGTAAATATAGATTTTTAATATAATTGTATAGTCTCTCACACTTTAGTAGTTTACACTCACTAAACCCTATTTCCCCATTTCATATCAAATTTTCTAAATTCTTTAGGTTTGTTTAGGCTCCTTTCAAGGTAGAATTGTAGAAAACATCTTCTGTTTAAGAATATTTGCATCCCACGCCAGAACAACAAGATACCATCATAGTCCGTTGGAGAAGCTCCAAAGACAATGTGTGCCATGAAGAAGAGGAAGACAAGGAAGAAAGGGCTCTCAGGATCCTGACTCAATTTCTGGAGAGGCATGCTGGGGGCAGATTTGGGGAGGAACTGGGGGGCAGATAGTTCTGGGATTGGATGGACAATACTATAACATTGCAGAACCACTGGACACGGTGCGTGTGCATCTTTTCTGTACTCCCATGGTCAGAGGGGGCCTTCATTAAAGACCCGCTCTATTATCTTATCTCTATTAAATTTGCCTGGAGTTTTTTGGCTCCCGATCTTTAGGCAACACCAGCATAAGCTGGAATTACTTTCCAGGTAAAGTCAGTATGTGTGGTATCAAAGAGAATAATAATAAAATAAAAAATAAAATATTATTTTGTATTTTGAACTTTAGTGAAGCGTGGTCAGAAGTGGGAAGGGCCTAGGTCAGTGCATCAAGAACCTTGAAAGGAAGCAGAAAGACCAGTAAAAGGCAGCCTTCCTGTAAGAATCTAATTATAAGTATTATTAGGCTCCACATGAGTAATTCCACATTTTAAATGGAGCTACTTAGACATAAGAATTTACCTGCATATTGTGTTTGAATGTGATCTTTATTTTACTGAAGTAGCTCTTGGAGACACAAGGCCACTCTCCTTGCCTTTCTTGTTCAGTTCCCCCACTCCCTCAAAGGAGGGAGGTATCTAGCCTGGGACTCTGCTACTTCCATTACCCACCTGACATTCGTAGAGCTTCTTTCTTCCCTTTTTGGCTCCAGCTCCAGACTGACAGGCTGTCAGGTGACATTTGAGTGTGCTATTCCTAGCAAAACGTTCATGGCAGTTTGGACATTCAAATGGTTTTTCACCTGTTAAAACAGACACAGGATTTGTAAATGTATAAAACCACCCAGTCTTTTGTCAGGTCTCTCTTCTTCCCCTTTCTTCCTCTTGTCTAGGTTGATAAATACACTGTAAAGATGTGGCCAGCTGGATTATTCTAGAGAAGAAGAGATGGATATGCCATGTAAAAGGGCAAAAAACCAAATGTGGAGTCATAACTCTCATTTAGAAGAAAACCAATGTAACAATTACCAGTACCATTTAAGGTACATTTCGCTTTTGTGAAAATAAATTTAGTGGAAATTAGATTACTATTCCAATGAAGTATCTTAAAGAAATAGCAGCTTTTTCTCACTTTTCATCTGATAATTGTTATAATTAAAATATCAACATTAGTAAATATACAAAGTGACACATTAAAGAAGTATTTAAATAATATAAACTTTTATTTTTAACAACAGTAACAGTTTATGCTTGAGAGCTGAAACTGAGCTCCAGAAAAAGAAGGTGGCACATGATGAATGATAATGAAATAACAATCCATTAGTGTTAAAATGAACAACCCCCTCCCTCCTCTCCCAAAATACAGTGAAAAGCAAGTACAGAAGGACATAAATGGGCACAAGCAAGATAAAATTCCTTTCAGTTTGGCCACTTCTTTTTAATGATGGTATCAAACACAGAAGCCAGCTAAGGACAACAACAGAGGAGGCAGAAAACCGATCTTTTTATCATCTAAAGCAGTGTACTATTATCAAGTAGTAATGAACAAAAGGTCTCTCTTTACTAATTCCACCATGCACAAACACACTGAAATTCAAGCAAATTAAATTACAAGAAAACTGGAAGAGTGTGTTTCTTCTGAAAGTCTGATAATTAACCTGGGGAGGTACAACATCACTACTGAAACAAACTGCTCAATGAACTCCAAAAGAGCCATTTCAGTGAATATCATAAGAATCTATCCGAGTTAGTTTAAAAGCCTGCGTTTTCAGGAATGCGATAGTTACCGGATATTGAGGTGGAAAGCCAATAAACCCACATCTTCAAAAATATTCAAAAGCTCCTAATTATCTTTTCAAAAGAAATCCACAATTCTCACTTAAAACACCTGAAAGCTAGACAAAGATGTTTAAATGACAGGAACATTGCCCTCAATGGTTACAAAAGGCCACATTTTTGGAGACTGTTGTAAAAGTAATGCAGAGGATGCTGAACTGCCTTCAGTTTTGCAGGTCAAAAATCATGGATTTTGACCAAGCAACTGATCAGATTGGAATTAGATGGTCTTCAAGGTCTCTACTAACTGCAGTACTACAGAGGAGGGGGATACCTGCGTGGATGAACAAGGAGCTTCTGCAAAAACTGAAACACAAAAAGGAAGCCTAGAGTGGTGGAAGCAAGGGCAGGTAGCCTGGGAAGAATACAGAGAGATTGTCTGAACAGAGAGGGATAAGGTTAGGGAGGAAGGCTAAAGACCTCATAGAATTGAACCTGACCAGGGACACCAAGGGCAACAAGAGAAGCTTCTCTAGATACAGGGGTGATAAAAAGACTAGGAAAAATGTGTGTGCTCTCCAGAAGGAAATAGGAGACCTTGTTACCTGGGACACAGAGAAAGTTGCAGGTCCTGAGGGAGCTGATGGAGGAAGCCACTATCCATAAATTTTGAAAAGGTGTGGCAGCCTGGTCAAGTTCTCACTGACCAGAAAAGCAGAAGCATAAACCTTTCAAAAAAGAAAAATAAGGAAGACGAAGGGAAGTACAAGCCAGTCAGTCTCACCTCTGCTCCCAGCAAAACCACAGAGGAGATCCTCCTGGAAACTGTGCTGTGAAGACAGGCTGAGAGCATTGGGGTTGTTCAGCCTGGGGAAGAAAAGGCTTCAGGGAGACAGTACAGCACCTTCCAGTATTTAAAGGGAGCCTACAGGAAGGCTGGAGAGGGACTTTTTACAGTGGCATGGATACAACAAAGGGGGAATGGCCTTCACCTGAAAGACAGCAGGTTTAGATAAGATGCTAGGAAGAAATTCTTTACTCAGAAGGTGATGAGGCGTTGTGGATGCCCTATCTCTGGAAGTGTTCAAGGCTAAGTTGGATGGGCCTCTGAGCAACCTGGTGTAGTGGAAGGTTCCCTACCCATGGTCCCAGGGGTGTAACCAGGTGATATTTAAGGTCCCTTCCAACCTAAGCCTTTCTATGATTCTATTTCTGCTGCAGTTACTATTTTCATGTAATTTCTGGCATAGTGACTGATCAACAATAGGATCAAACACTTTTTAGTTCATTTTGTCCCAGGCCTTTCAGTTTGATTTTAGCATTCAACCAGTGCTATGCAGAATTTGGAATTTAGAAAGCCTGTGACTGAATGGGAGTTTTTCCACTGACCTTAGGAGTTAAATGGTGATATCAGTTTTGATTTTGAGCTTAAGGCTTTTGAAAATGCTAAACTGGAAGTAATTAGATTCCATGTTATACTTATTAGATCAATATATAAAGTATTCTGTACCTTCTGTGATATGCTAGCTTCCTTTGAACCAAAAATACTTTTTTGCAAGAGCAAACAACATATTACACACTTTGGGTTAATCTGGTTATCTGCCACAAACTTTTTTATGAAAAGATTTTTGTTAAGTAGCTTGTATTTGGATTGTTCATAATGGAGAAACACTCCCTGCTTCATAGGGGATAAGGATTTGCCAAAATCTGTTTATAAACTGAACTTTTAAGAGGCTGTTTGGAATAGACTGGACACTGCTATATGTTCAATACTCAGCAGTCCCATACACAGATACATTTTAATTAAATTAAGCCATCCTTGTTAAAAGGCTTTAACAGCAAGAAGCTGAAACAGAAATAGAGCTGCTACTCTCCATTAAATTTTTTCTGATGACTCATGACTGACATATTAAACAAAAACATCTGGAAGATCAAGATCACATATATATTACATTCAGAGTTATCTGTGTCATGCTTGGTATCTGTTCAGACAGCAGACTTTTCAGTGAGATGAAGTAATGTCCCATACTATAAGGAAGAAATAAGGAGCACAAGTCACTTTGTACTCCAAAAATGCTATCTAGATTTCAAAGAGGCAAATTTCACAATCGAAAAGTGTACTAGAGTGACTAGAAATGCTCTGCTGTTCTCAGTAGTTTTGCTTAATTAACAAAGAAAATTCAAATCACAGATGAGGTGTCAAGAGCAAGGATAAAACTTTCCAAACAAGATGGTACAGGAGAGAATTTTTTGAGGGTATTTCATGTCTAATGCATTAATAGGCATTTGCTAAGAAGCCCTATTAGATAAAGAAATGCTCTAGACTGTATTCCACCAAGAAGCTCATGATCAGATCATATTTCAACAGAAACTTTTATCAGAAAATTTTGAAAATAAAAGTAGCTCAGTTTGGTATTTTTGAAGAAAGGAACATGCCTTAAGAAGGTATTTTGAAAAAAAACCTTTAAGATTTAGTAGACTTGACAGAGAAGCTTCATTAGTGCCTTCTGGTTTTAGTGCCTTCTGCATATTTTTAATCAACTCAATCCCTCAAAAGTTTACATCAATGTAAAACAAAAAAACAAACAAAAAGACACACCAGCATTTTAGCTGTAACTAGAAACCAAGTATTTCTAGCACTCAGGACTCATGTGTTTTCTTCAGCATATTCTCTATTTCCCCAAAACATGCAAAGCCCCAAAACGTGAGAACAAAGGACTGTAGCAGTGCTCTTACCTGTGTGCTTCCGCAGGTGCTCTTTAAAATGTCCAAAGTGGTCAAACTGCTTATCACAGTACTGGCATACATGTATTTTCTTGCCAGGTCTTTGCTTCTTGCTGACACCACCTTCATCAAGGTGGTAACAGGTGAGGTGCTGTTTCAAAGCACTCTCTCGTAGGTATCTTTTATTGCATATGTCACACTTGTAATTCTCAGTAGAGTGTGTTTTCATGTGTTCCTTAAAATGGTAAAACAATTTAAATGAACGGTTACATTTCTCACAGTGGAATAAATTGTTCACGTGTGACAGCTGAAGTTCCACAATTTCAATACCTTCTACCTGTTTGCACGAGGGATCAGTTGCATTATCACCTTCTTCTTGGATCTGGCATTTTCTCTCTCCCTGACGATACTTGCTGGTGATATCTGCCAAAAGAGCCAAAGCAGATTCATCTGATGTACCTGTTGTCTGTATGTACTTTATGGATTGCTCTGCAGAAGCTACTTCTTCAAGTGTTTCAATGCTGTCGTCTTCCACTTTCATCGTCCCTTCTGCAATCTCAACCTCAATTTCAACAGGCTCTGATTCTGCAGATGGCAGTGTTTCTGTGATAACATTAGAGGTTTCAGCAATCTTCCTCTTTTTTGGTTTATTTTTACCTTGCGCTTCATTTGATTCTAAGAGTGATGAATTTTCTTTGTTCCTGAAAATCATTTGCATAAACATCGTTAAGATCCATAAGCACTGACAAAGGAACTCCTGCCTAGTAATGAGCTTCTGCATCCAACACTCTCTAGCCATTTCTCAAAGTTGAGTGATGAATGACCACTTAATCTGTGTGCATGTCAGAAGTTAATTTGTCCTTGATCTACACTCCTTAGTGTAGTAAAATAGCATGGTTAAAGCTGCTAAGGTGCTGCTCAAATGACACAAAGTACCTATCAAGAAGAAAGGCCAGTTAACCTAAGACATAGGCTTATCTAAAAAAATTGTAAAGTTCTCTACTTGGAAAGAAAAATCCCCCAAAAGAAAGAGTACTTTGGCCTGCCTACTCAGAAATAAGATTCAAGTCCCTCCTATGCTCTTCAATTCTTAAGCTCTGAGTGTGTGCAGCTTCCCACAGTGCTAAGAGCTTGTTAGAAAACACTACAGCTGTGACTTCACACAGTGGTTATCATAGCATCTTGTACTTCAGGAAGGCACACAACTAACAGCTGAGGTAAAAGCCAGCAGGATGTGGAAAGAGTATTCTAGTTTAATTTTCTGAGCTTGAACACAACCCTCAGTTCTGTTGCTATTTTCCCTGCGTAACACACACTCAACTCCCCTTCCTACAAAATGTCAGAGATTGCATGTCATCTCAAACATAGACAGAACTGAGCAGGTCAATGCCTTCAAGTCATTCACAGCACTTCTGTGCTGCAGGTTTTGTTACTGATTATCAGTTTTGAAAACGACTGGGTATCTCCCCCTCAAACAGACTGACTGGGGTAAGCCATGCTTTTACCCTCCTTTGCAGCAGGATGAATCCTTTCACGTAATGTACTCCCTATCATTTCCACGTTTTCTAGTAATAGGAGACAAGACTTGGCCCAATATCTCCAAGTCATATGTCAGAGATGTGACTAATGATGTAATGCAGGACACAGCTTATCAAATTGCACCTTACTGTAGTCACACACAGGGAAAACAGAGCAGCTAAACTCAGTTTCATCTAGCCTGGATTTCTGATGTCTACAAGGTGATAGTTACATTGCACATTACTGCAAGGAGCTCTGGGATCATGTACCAAAAACCAGCAGTGTAGCATGCAGAAGGAATGAGAACGTTGAGAGCACTTTGTGGAAGTGAAAGGGAAGAAAGGGGATGAAAAACAGCACGATGGGACTGGCACCCATTTTTCTCAAGCTCGGCAATGGAGCACAGTTCCTGGTAGAGGATAAAAGCTGCCACAGCAACATTTGATTAAATATTGAACCCAGATAAAACTGACTACAACAGTTACATTCATTCAAGAAATTTGACAGGTTAGTTTTGCAGCAAGAAATTTTAAGATCACTGCTTATTCTCTCAGAATAGCAGAAAGCTGCATGAAATACAAAACCAGCACAAACTTGTTAATGTGTTCTGATTACCTGAGGCACACTGTCACTGTGCAGCCAGTTGTCAGTCAGGTGTGGGCCTTCAGGCAGCACAGAGACCTGGTATCAGTTACCACAAAGACACAACCCTACAGCTTTGGCAACATTTACGAGCCATGTCCCTTGCCATTGAGTTCCAGCCCAAAGAATGTGACATTCTTTTTTTAGCTTGTATATTTCTGACATGTACACCATAGTAGAAGAGTTATGGTGCTACAGATGCTAAGGAGGTTCCAGCATAAGGAACAGCACTGCAAAATACTGGCAGCCAGCTCTTACAAAAGGATTCTTAAGACTCTATATTTTAAGTGGTGGGAAGAAAAAGAGGCTGATGTGCTTACCTAATTTCAAGTGCTTTGATTGCTTCTAGCATCTGTAGATACTCAGCTGCTTTCCAAACATCATTTGCTTCTTCCTCACCTTGGACCATTAGTTTTGCTGTGTAGGTGAACTCAATTAGGTGACGAAATGCCATGTTACTTACACCTGTATACAGAAAAGAGAAACAACAGTTTCTTTTAACAATTCCTCAGTCTCATCTACCTGATGAATCCTGCACACTTGCCTGCACACCATTGTGATCACAGTACTGTACCTGCCAGTTTCATAAAGATAACACTCTTGACAAAGATAAAAAGAAGGATGAGATGGACAAAAAGCTGTTTGAATAATATATAGATTTAAACACAAAAATACTATCCCTCTTTCAAGAGGTCTCTGAGCAGCAAGGTACTGGAGGGTGAAATACTGCTCCAGGAATTGGCTCCTTGCCTACCACACAAGTATTGCTCAATGTCTATCATGCTCTTGCATCCCAGCCAAGGCATCTGCCATTTGCCATCACTGTCAACCTTTTTCATCTGACCAGACTGGTTGTTCTCAGGGAAAAGATTTTGTCACACTGCAAGTTCTAAAAACATACAGGATCTGCCTGACCTCCACTAGCCATGTATCGGGGAAAGAAAGGAAAAAAATTAAAAAAGCACCCACATAATCTCACACTTTCCCTTCCAACAATTTAATTCAAGAGTGTTCTTTTTCTTTTTGATTTTTCTTCAGGGGAAGTTTTTTTTCCAGTGGTGACAGCTGTCTCAGAACAACTCAAGAGGTAAGATTTAGAAAGCTAATTATATGACTAATCATCTTTAAGTGTTCAAGGCCAGGTTGCATAAGGCCTTGAGCAACCTGGTCTAGTGGGAGGTATCTCTGCCCATGACAGCAAGGTTGGGACTAGATGATCTTCAAGGACCTATCTAACCCTTAACATTCTATGATTCTATGTATGTAGGCCTGTACCAAGGATGCTATATTAATTTCCAGCTTGAGCACACAACTCTGAGTGTTTTTAATTGTACAAATCAGATTACCTTCAATCTCCACCAAAGGCTCTTGAGTGAAATCTTGGAAGAATTTGTGGAAGAACTGGCTACAGGCAGCAAGAACAGCCTTATGAGCTTTGAAATGGTGACCTGCAAAGAGAGACAAAAATTTTGGTTCAGAGTAACATAACTCCCTCCATAGTGCAGAATAAGTGTAGATGCAGAAAAAGACTAGCCAGCCTAAACAACTATTCCACCACTCCAGCAGCATACAGTCACTGTGTCTCCATAAAACATGGGATACTACTGCAGCTATCCTATCCCATCTCTTGCAGAACCTTGGTGATATCGCTTACCTTGCAAAAGGTAACTCAACCAGATGGAGGACTCAGTCACTCCAGTGTTTCTCTTTTCAAATATTTAAATTATGATACCAGATACCAGAGAAGCAAGAAGTAAATCTTATTTCAAGGTGTGATTTTATTTAGACACACTATTTGTAAAAGTTCTCTGTGTGCAAACAGTCAGCTCAAGTCAGAGAAAAATATTTTAATAATGTTTTGGAAATCTTTAGACAACACGTTAAGTATAGCACAGCAGTTTCAAAGAGGGCTGCTATCTGAAAATATTTAGCCCTTTATTTGGAAAAGCAGAAGCAAAATTATTAATCACTGCTGGAGTCTGTTGACCCTGAGATGCTAAATGAAACTTTGCAAGTAACTTGCACACGGTGCAGAACCAGCCTGTTTGCAGCCCAGTCTGACTCTGACCTGTGACAAACCCAACAGCATCCTAGCACAGCCTTTAGAATTCCCTGTATACCAGCTGGTTCCCAGGCCCATACATACCATCAACAATCAGGGTGATATCTGTAAACTGGTCCTGCTCACGTTGTTCGTTCAGTCTATCCAAAATAACTTTATAGTGTTCAGGGAATTCCTGGATACATTCCATCGTTTCCTCGGCTTCCATGGCAAAATACCCGGTCTGCAAAAAAGTACAGTGTGAGAGTAAGAATTCTGTGCCACTTGGTAAATACTGTGCACAGTCAGGTCTTTATATGGACATAAACTAACTAGAACTTTGCATGGACCATAAAACCAATAGAAACAACAAATTGTTCTGGTAACAGGTTTTTTACCTGATATGAGCTGACAGGTAGGAAATGGCACAGCTACTGATGTGGAATATTGTCTTATTTAAACACCTGAAAAAACAGTCAAAGTGGATAAGCGTATTTCTTTATCCTACAGTTTCAGCAAGGATCCACCATCCTCAAAGCAAATGCTGCAGGAATGCAACATCTCCATGGCTAATTATTCAACGCCACAGCAGGATAATATCAGAATCTTTATAAAGTTACTCCTCACCATCCCACCACTCCACCTGTGAAGAACAGTTCTTAAAATTTTCATATTAAAGTCACATTTTGCTCCTTATGAACACAAGATGTTTACTTCCTTCCAGCATCCATGTAATCGAGTAGCAATTTTCAACTTCTAAGTACACTGGAGTTGCCAGGGATTTCATTTGCTGTCACACCCAAGCTTATTCATCCCTCCTACTTACACTTCTCCTGCAAGGTGAAATATTCTTTGCTAACCTTTCTAAAGAGACAAATATGCTTGTAATCTGATGGCATAGGTGGGTGTAGCAGTTGCACAGGATCTCAGACATAAAGAGGTTTAGCAAAACTCTGTGCCTGTGGATGAGATGCAGATGTTAGTCTCCTGCTTATGCAAAAGAATCTCAGGAGAGCTTCCAAGTGCTTCAATGAAAGCATTTCACAAATCACCCCCAGGCAAAATTACTTCAGATCTATGCAGCAACACTCATCTTCAACTCCCACATTAACACTTAGAATGCCGCAGAAAAGAAGAATTATGGAGCTCCTATTTTCACCACAAAACACACTCTTTTTCTTGCATCTCAAGAAAAACCACCCACAGAGAAGTCATTTTGCCAAGAGAACAAAATAAGTAGAGAACAAGCAACCACTTAGGGAAATCCAGCTCCAGCTGCTATTGCTGCGTTGCCAACCAGGGAAATGCCCACAAAAATTGGTGTGCAACAAGCCAATAATTAAACATTCGAGAAAGACACTGATTATCTATTTCAGAGTTATGCAAGCCTGGGTTCCCGGTGGTATTCCACAAATCAAGCACACCAACTATCAAAACTTTTTACTGTTTTATATTACTATTTTACTATACTACTATACACTATATTACTATGCATTTTAGCAAACAAAGGAATTAGCTTTCAGTGGCTACAAATTACATGGTTTTCTTGTTAATTAGTATTTTATCTTCTACTGGTTAATGATTCTCTTGCTTCTCATGCTAATTAATCCACATTCTCAGTCTTTCTCCAGAGTTCCTAGGTTTCTTGGGTTGGTGGTCATGATCACTCCTTGGCAGAATTACCTTTTTACCCAATTGGAGCGTATTTCAGCACAGTTGCTGGATTGGTTTTATTAGTTTCTTCCTCACCTTGGGGGTTCTTCTCAATGTCCCTGTGGCCTGTAAATTCTCCATTCTTTGTGTCCACTGTAAGTGGGCATTCTTCTTCCCAAGCTCTGTTAACCTCCCCCTAGGTCTGAAATCATTGAAGCGCCTCCAGTCCTAAACCTTAACAAGGCAGTTCTACCAACAGGTAATGTGTTCTTCTAATGCCTGGACATCACTTAGAGCTTGTTGGCTTCTCTCTGTTTCACGGATTAAATCTCCCTTCTCGTTGATCAGGCTCGAAAATTTACAAAGATCAAACATCAAAGAACATCCTTTCTTAAGAAACTTTTACATATTCCACTGTTTGCAATAGAAACACCAGTCAGGGTCTTCAAGGAGGCAGAGACCAGCCTACAGGGGAAGGTGAGGTGGAAGGGAGTGGATGCTGCTGCTGCAGTGACTGCATCTCATCTGTAATGATGGGTCTGAGACAGACAACCAGCAGCTCCTGCTTTCCTCCACCATCTGGTATTTCACATAAAGTCTCATGTGGGAAATTGTCAGCCACTTACTTCACTGTTTTAATTCTTTTTGCCCATTTTTTACACATCGTAAAAGGGTAGATGACTTGCAGTTAAAAACATAATTCCGTAAAACAAGCAAGATTTTGATCTCCAACTCATGGGATTTAGTTTCAAATTGTTTGTTTAGAGGGATATCCCAAAAAACCCTCCAAACCCTCAAAATTATAGAGTAACCTCACCCCAGCAAATCTAAGATATTTTAAAAAAAATTTTTTTTTCAGAACTCTTATGAAACATGAGTAAGGAGACATACAACTTATGTTAGCTAGTTCATTGTCATAAATTTACACAGAACTAGTAAAAAGTGTGAATTTACTGTGTATCTCAACGAAGTTGCAGCATTCATTGCGTACTCTCATGTTAAAAACTCGGTCATACTGCAGAAGAAAGCCAGGCAGAACAGCACATGTTCATTAGGAGCACAACTGTTCTGGGCAAAGAAAAGAAAGGTACAGCTGGGAAAACAGAACAGCTCAGGAAGATGGACAGAAGTGATCCAAGTTTCCTCTTATGAGCGGGCTCACAGATGAGGGATGGAAACTGGAATACTTCAGTTGTTCACCCAATTTTCTTGGAAGACTCGTTCAACTACTGACCACCTTTCCAGCCTGTACTCCTTTCACGTCACATGCATACGATTTAGAGATTTTTATAAATCCACCTCAACGGAAACACCTTATTACTACCACCCTCCTGGACTACAACGGGAACTCCTTGTATTTTAGGCACCAAATATTTTCCAGCGCACGGGTCCCACAGGGCAGCTCCGCGGGGCTGGTGCAGGCTGCCCAAACCACCGCCATCTTGGGCAAGGGGGACCTGCGGGGTGTGCAGTGAGGCAGCAGGAATCTCTCGTGCACTGAGCCGCACGTTTGTGCCCAGAGCCACCGCCCCGGCAGGCGCCGCTTCCGCTCCCATTTCCATTCCCGTTCCCAATTCCGTTCCCGCTCCCCCTTCCCGCACTGCGGGGCCGCGCCCCTCGCGCCCGCCAGAGTGCGTCACCGCCCCCTGCGCCCCGCCCGCAGCTCCCGCCGCCCGCGGGCTTCGGCCCGCGCGCCTCGCGGCCCCATTGGCGGGTGCCGCTGTCAGTCAGCGCGGCCCCTGCCAATCGCGAGGCGTGGGCCTAGCCCGCCCCGCGCGGAGGAGCCAATGAGCGGCCGCCGAGTGCCCGGAGCGGGCGAAGGCGGAAGGCCTGGCCCGCGCCCATGGCCCGCCGGGCAGGGCCGGTGCGGGCGCGGGGCGAGCGGCGCCCGCGGGCGCGGGGGTCCCGCGGGGAAGTCCCAGAGGGGGAGCTCGACCGCCGCCGGCTCGAGTCGGGCGCTCGGCAGCGCCGCCACCTCGTTAGTCCTTATTACGTCATCAAAGCGCGCATTAAATCGATCCCTTTTCAATTCCTGGCCGGGTCGCGGCCCGGCGGCGCGGTGCGCCGCAGGGTGGCGAGACGGTTCCGCCAGGGACTCACCAGGAGCAGCTCCTCGCCGCGCCGCTTCCCGCTCCGCCGCCGCCGCTTCCTGCTGCCCGGCACGCTGGAAAGGGGGCGCGCGCCGGCCAATCCCGACTCGCATTCCCGGCCTGCCCCGCGCTCACCTTACACGCGACAGGGCGCGCGCGCGGCAGGGGCGGGGCCCGGCGGCCCGGGGCATGCCGGGAGCTGTAGTCCGTGACTGTGGCATGGGTGGGGCGGGCAAGGGGGTGGAATGTGGAACGCAGCACGGGGAAGTGTGTTATCGGGTCCAACTACCTTGCTCTAATAGGGCCATCTCAAAGCACATTGCACCGAATTGCGTCCAGACAGCTCTGGAATATCTCCAGTGTGGGAACTTTCTGGGCAACCTGTTCCAGTGCTTGGTCACCACGCAGTAAAGTTCAGTTTCTGCCCTTTGCCTCTTGTCCTATTGGTTGGCACCACAGAGAAGGGCCTGGCTCCATCCTCTTGGCATCTCCCCTGCAGATACTGATAGCCAATATATTGATTGGGGTCCTCTCTCAGTTGTCTCTTCTCGAGGCTGAACAGACCCAGCTTCCTCTGCCTTTCCTTGTAACAGAGATGCTCCAGTGCCATGATCAATTTTGTAGCTCAACTTTGTTCTCTAGCTGACAGGGAACACCTGTGTCTCCTCTTCCATACGCACTTTGTAGTTGTATTGCAGTGTTTTATGTGAGTGACCACTTTCCTCAGTGTGGAATGCCAGAACATTCTGGAAGGTGTGTGGTGGTGGGGCCACATGCACCCTAACAGACAGGACTCACACCCCTGAGATTCCCTTCAGTCCATGTCTCTGCCCTCTGCTGCACAGCCACTCTTCCATGCAGTTCCATAACACTGTCTTATTTTATAATATAGATTGAATGGTGCTCAAAATGAGTATCATGAAGTGGTGTCAAAATATGCAAACGAAATATTGCCCAGCAAGGCTTCTGTTCCACTCTGTGGTGTCCAGCTTTGCCCCTCCAGCTCCAAGGTCCCCCAGCTGAGGAAGGAGAGGCCCAGGCAGCACCTTGCAGCTCCAACAGAGCTCCTGAGTTATTTGGCTGAGGCACCTTAGGAGGAGACAGCAAGTACATGCCACTGGGTGCCACACCGGCCCCTCTGCCACCCTGCCTGAGTGCTGGCGATGGGAAACTCGGGATTCTCTTCTAGGCCGGAGTCTTCGGGGGCACCCCTGGTCATCCAGGTGTCACAGCCTGTCACCAGGTGAAAATGTATTCATCCAAATAAACCAGTATAACTTACCAGAACAGACACAATGATTGCCCCTTTGACAGGCTCTGTGTCAATGCTGACAACAGAAGAGCATGCACATGCAGTGGCTCTGTTATAACGAGCTCACCTGCGTTAATGCCTGCAAATGGACTTGTTTATGCATTCTATCCCTTTTCCATGGTGCCACACCTACACCATTACTTTTGCCATATTCTTCCTCCACTAAAAGGATAAATGTCTATGAAATTAGGGCAGCTGTTCAGCATAGAAATCCTACAACATCAAACTAACATAAATAGTAGATATTTGGTCAAGTTCAAACTAATTTTTATATACTCTTTAATATGCAGAGTCCTAAAACTCTGTGCAGCATTTTATAATACAGCAATACAAGAAAGTTTTGTCAATACTAATGGTTTGCAAAACAACATTAAAAAGTCAAATTTATTTCCCTTTTATTTGTTTATGTTATTAATGGCCTTGCTAATGTAACAATGCTAGCTGTTCTTATTAGTAGATCTATTCAGATAGTTGTTTTCAATCTAGGAGTTGCCTGCCACACTCATTCTTCTTTTCTGATACACAACAGCACATAAACAATGTTGATGCCTCCTGCATTTAAAAATATATAAAGGTTTGGTTTAAACCACTGGAGATCTAATTTTTAGTTGAAGAACTGTAACTACAATAACTTATAATTCAAATAAAAATATTGCTAAGGTTACCACTGTAGCAGAGTACAACACAAGAATTAAAAATTTCCATTCCAGCACCTTCTACCTATCCAGACAATGTTGCTGACTTGCTTGTTTTTCACTAATGTGTGGTTTGTTCTGCCCATTTACTTTTTTTCCCATGGCATTTTCCATTGTGTTTCTTTTTCTCCTATGGCTTCACCTATCTAATTTTACTGTGAGGTTAGATGGAAGCTTTTAAGTGAACGGTTCCTATTTTGTCCGAGTAGCTTTATATTTGAATATAAAATTAGACTGATTAAGCTATAACTCTTTAGATTCCCCTTTTCCTCTCTCAGAGATGGGTGTGCTGTTTCCCAGCACTACCTCTAGGATTTCCGAGAGTTATGTTACAAAAACATACAATTTAGTTGTAAATCTGAAAATTACCTTGTTTACCGTGCATTTTATTTACATGAAGAAGAATACGTTAAGCAAACATCCAAAAGCTTTCTGTTGGTATCTCCAGTTCAGCCTCTATTTGTGTGGCTAAAAATTCCCTATGCTTTTCTCCTTTTCCAGAATCCCCTCAATGGCACTGGAGAATCCTTCATTTATTAAGATAATCTGATAAGTCTTCTGGACATAACACTCAGCTGAGTTTGGGAAAGTTACTGAAGAGTATATGTTCTCTTCCAAGGCGGAGATCATCTGTCCAAACTGAGTGTTATGAGCCTCTCCTTTTCACAGGGGGAGCTGTGAAGTAGCAAACAGAGAAAAATGAATACTAAACTAATAGTAGAAAAGCATGAGTCATACATTCCCCTTCTTTAATAAAAGAAACACCTCTTTGTCTGAAGAAATGCAGGAATGAATGAACTGCAGATGTGAAACCAAAAATTCAGAAGGTGTGTCTGTGTGCAGCAATGAGTAGATAACTATTTTCCAAAGGCGATTCAGATAATAAATGAAGGCCAAAAGGCACCATTAGGTTACCTAGCGCAAGGCTATCCACCTAGCAGCCTGTGACCTACACCCAGCTTGTTGGACAGTTCTGACTGGCTCCTCAAGTGGTTTTGAAAGCTGCTTAGTGCACTCACAGCACACCCAGATCTCCCACATCAGAACCAAATTATTCATCCAGGCAGCTGCAGAATTCAAACAGCTGCAATGTGGCATTTACTTGTCTCTTCTATTAAAAAAATTATTATGAAATCAACTGCTCATTCCTGTAATGCTATCAATCATTTGCAAGAAATCTTCTCTTTATCAGACAACTCAGCATGTGTCCATTGCACAATGACTTGTTCTGTGCATGAAAAGGCTTTACTGTCACGCCTGGAGCAAGCCAGATGTGTGCTATTATGCAAGAGGAAAACATTTCTGTAGAGCCCCTTTGGTAGGTATATCCAGGGAAAAAATATCAGTACCTGTTTATAAAGTCCTATAGGAAAATAAACATGGGTTATCCTTCTGACAGAGAGCTGTTCTGTTAATCCTCCTTATTTTTTTACCATCTCCAGAGGGAAGGGAAGGTATAAGAAGTTAAAGGAAGTCAAAACGATAGTGGTAGCTGGAAAATTAAATGCTTGAAAACTGTAATGTGTCGAATTGTGGACTGAAGTAAAAAATCCTTAAACCTTGCAATTGTGACACAAAGGTGTCAGCTTGTTCCTCTGTTATCTTTCTATTTTCAGAGGAAATGCCCGACTAGGACAGGATGGGCGTTTATATCTATTCAGTATTATCTGCTGACCTACAAGCTCCATGCCAAATCTTATCTACTGTTGACAAGCGTCATATTTTTGTGACTCCAGAGAGATCAGCTGACTACTGAAATCAGGGAGATCACTGTCTGGTGAACACTGCATGAGTGGGTGGTTGCATTCTAGAGTTCTTATCTAAATATTTTCTTTTATATGATTTTAAATATGTGGAAGAAGAAGCAAGTCAAAAAACTTACTATATATCAGTTTCATAAACCATAGTTATTTGGATTCTGCAGAATTATAAGAAGCATGCCTAAGGGTATTGTATAGTGGCTTAGAGCTTAAATAACAGTAGACATTAAGTACTTTGCTATTTTTTCCTCTTTTTATCCCAGAATATAGAATCACAGCTATAAATATAGAATGGGTTGTGTTGGAAGATTTCTTTAAAGATCATTTCCCAGTATAAATTCAGCAGCCTTGGCTAGGTCAGTACTTGTCTAGGAAACCTCTTAAGGAAAGCCTCTGTAAAAGGTTATCTGTGTTTATTGATAAAATACATACATAGTATGTCATTTTTGTATTGCAACAAGTGTGGGTAGTGCCTTCCCAAATCTTCGTTCATGAAGCCTAGCCATGATTTGTATTGGTATGCATTGTGCATCATGAGTAGAAATAACATACATAGACATTGTTAATAAAGGTTTTGTATATGTAGTTATTACCTCTTCACAGGTGACTCAGATTTTTCACCAAATCCAAATCTAACCTGATTTGCAAAATTATTTTTGTTTTGTTGGGGTTTTTTTTGATAAGCAACAGTGAACACAGCACATCAGTACATGAAATGTGGTGGCTTTTCTAGCTCTCTTTTATAATCCATGAAATTCTACAGAGTCTGGAAGGGATTAAAGCTAAACTGTAAGAA